GGGGACGTGTACATGGGAGGGGTGGCTGTGTGAGGGTCGGGGTCGTGTACATGGGGGTGGCTGCGCGAGGGCCGGGGACGTGTACATGGGAGGGGTGGCTGTGTGAGGGTCGGGGTCGTGTACATGGGGGTAGCTGGGCAAAGGCTGGGGACTTGTACGCGGGGGTGGCTGTGCGAGGGCTGGAGACGTGTACATGCGGTGGTCGCTGCGTGAGCGATGGGGCTGGTCATGAATACTGCATACATGTTTCATGTTGGTCGGGTTCCCCACCTGCGGGCAGACTTGCACTGCGCTGTTTATTGCACAATCAAAAGGCGCCAAATAATTTGTGTTGAAAAGGTTTCTAATGAAAATCTACAAAATAACTTCTGGCGGGACGGAGATATTCATCGCAAAATAGAGAATTTGTTTTCATAAAAATACAAAGAAGGTATAAAAGAAAATGTCTATAAATAAGCGTCCTCGGCTCCGCCTCTGCCCGGCAGTCACTGTGGTCAGGAGTCTTTTAGCATCGTGATACGAGCGTAGATCTTCAGGGCCGGGCCCAGTTTAATGTTCATAGCGCTCATGAGGTGGTCCTCTTTAAGAAGAAGCAGAGCCTGGCCGTCAATCTCTTGTACCCGGAACTCCTCCGAGATTTCCTGACAGCCTGGAAAAGCAGAACGGGAGGACATGAGAGGTGCGTCAGGACAGTGTCAAGATTCACCAGCACAGGGCAACTCTGGCTTTTTCTGCCCCTCATGTGAATATATTGAATTCGATCAGGCTGGAAAAGTGGGATCAGTCGCCCCCAAACCGGCTCTGGAGATTGGTGGAGTAAGAGGCCCTGTGCTTTTTACAGCCAGGCTGGTACTATCTGGAAGGACGGGGAAGGGGAGTATGGGACCGGAATCAGACAGAGGATTGCAGCTAGTATCGGGGGGGGCGGGTCATTGTCAATGGCTTCCGAATCCCCCCAGGCCTCACACTGGCTTGCCACATGGCTATTTAATATGGGAGGAGTGCAGGATAATCTGATTGATTAAAGTGTGAGATACGGGTCAGAGTCTTCTGTACACACAGAGTAGGACCCGTCACACCGGGAGCTCAGAGTCCTCCGTACAACACAGCAGAGGAGCCGTCACACCGGGAGCTCAGAGTCCTCCGTACAACACAGCAGAGGAGCCGTCACACCGGGAGCTCAGAGTCCTCCGTACAACACAACAGAGGAGCCGTCACACCGGGAGCTCAGAGTCCTCCATACAACACAGCAGAGGAGCCGTCACACCGGGAGCTCAGAGTCCTCCATACAACACAGCAGAGGAGCCGCCACACCATGGGCTCAGAGTCCTCCGTACAACACAGCAGAGGAGCCGTCACACCAGGGGCTCAGAGTCCTCCGTACAACACAACAGAGGAGCCGTCACACCGGGAGCTCAGAGTCCTCCATACAACACAGCAGAGGAGCTGTCACACCAGGGGCTCAGAGTCCTCCGTACAACACAACAGAGGAGCCGTCACACCGGGAGCTCAGAGTCCTCCGTACAACACAGCAGAGGAGCTGTCACACCAGGAGCTCAGAGTCCTCCGTACAACACAGCAGAGGAGCCGTCACACCAGGGGCTCAGAGTCCTCCGTACAACACAACAGAGGAGCCGTCACACCGGGAGCTCAGAGTCCTCCGTACAACACAGCAGAGGAGCCGTCACACCGGGAGCTCAGAGTCCTCCGTACAACACAACAGAGGAGCCGTCACACCGGGAGCTCAGAGTCCTCCGTACAACACAGCAGAGGAGCCGTCACACCGGGAGCTCAGAGTCCTCCGTACAACACAGCAGAGGAGCCGTCACACCGGGAGCTCAGAGTCCTCCATACAGCACAGTGCAGGAAGTGTCACGTACCTGGCAAGGAGCGGATGAATTCGTAGACATCCTCCACGTTCCACTTGGTTGGGTCGCTGGGTAAGAAGTTGTGGTTGATGTGTAGAGTGTCCCCGGGGTGGAGGTCGGTCATCTCCATGTCTTGGTGGTGCTGGCAGGGGAGGGAGGAGCTGGCAGAGATTGGAGACAATGGCTCCTCATAGCTGGAGTTTTCAGAGCAGCGACTGGACTCCTCTTGGCTATTGGTGTGTTTGAGGGTGGAGGAGACGGACAGAGGGGTTACACTGGAGGGAGTGACGGATCCTGACACCTGCAGAGGAAAGCCAATCAGCAGTCAGCTCGGGTGGACTTACAGCTGCATGCGGCGGTGGCGTCCTGTCACCAGCGGATGCGGCACCGTACAGGTGAAGGGTGAAAGGTGCCTGGACTATGGTGACCATTCCTTTTTAAAAAATGCTAGCTGCCTGTCATGCTTATCCTCTGGCTTCAATATTTTATGGAGCATCAGCCTGGATCAGTATGCAGACATTAGTGACTGATTGCTTAGGCCGGGGCGGCGAGGTGGAGGCTGGAGATTGTCAGGCAATGTGAGATCAGTGAGGACGCCCCGCATTTCTCTCACTCCCTCGAAGTACTCAGCATTGGATATAGAGGTTACACTATGACTTGGATGTTGGTAAGCGGCGAATGTATCCTTAGGATTCAGGGTCAGCCTAGGGGCGAATGTATCCTTAGGATTCAGGGTCAGCCTAGGGGCGGAGGTATCCTTAGGATTCAGGGTCAGCCTAGGGGCGGAGGTATCCTTAGGATTCAGGGTCAGCCTAGGGGCGGAGGTATCCTTAGGATTCAGGGTCAGCCTAGGGGCGGAGGTATCCTTAGGATTCAGGGTCAGCCTAGGGGCGGAGGTATCCTTAGGATTCAGGGTCAGCCTAGGGGCGGAGGTATCCTTAGGATTCAGGGTCAGCCTAGGGGCGGAGGTATCCTTAGGATTCAGGGTCAGCCTAGGGGCGGAGGTATCCTTAGGATTCAGGGTCAGCCTAGGGGCGGAGGTATCCTTAGGATTCAGGGTCAGCCTAGGGGCGGAGGTATCCTTAGGATTCAGGGTCAGCCTAGGGGCGGAGGTATCCTTAGGATTCAGGGTCAGCCTAGGGGCGGAGGTATCCTTAGGATTCAGGGTCAGCCTAGGGGCGGAGGTATCCTTAGGATTCAGGGTCAGCCTAGGGGCGGAGGTATCCTTAGGATTCAGGGTCAGCCTAGGGGCGGAGGTATCCTTAGGATTCAGGGTCAGCCTAGGGGCGGAGGTATCCTTAGGATTCAGGGTCAGCCTAGGGGCGGAGGTATCCTTAGGATTCAGGGTCAGCCTAGGGGCGGAGGTATCCTTAGGATTCAGGGTCAGCCTAGGGGCGGAGGTATCCTTAGGATTCAGGGTCAGCCTAGGGGCGGAGGTATCCTTAGGATTCAGGGTCAGCCTAGGGGCGGAGGTATCCTTAGGATTCAGGGTCAGCCTAGGGGCGGAGGTATCCTTAGGATTCAGGGTCAGCCTAGGGGCGGAGGTATCCTTAGGATTCAGGGTCAGCCTAGGGGCGGAGGTATCCTTAGGATTCAGGGTCAGCCTAGGGGCGGAGGTATCCTTAGGATTCAGGGTCAGCCTAGGGGCGGAGGTATCCTTAGGATTCAGGGTCAGCCTAGGGGCGGAGGTATCCTTAGGATTCAGGGTCAGCCTAGGGGCGGAGGTATCCTTAGGATTCAGGGTCAGCCTAGGGGCGGAGGTATCCTTAGGATTCAGGGTCAGCCTAGGGGCGGAGGTATCCTTAGGATTCAGGGTCAGCCTAGGGGCGGAGGTATCCTTAGGATTCAGGGTCAGCCTAGGGGCGGAGGTATCCTTAGGATTCAGGGTCAGCCTAGGGGCGGAGGTATCCTTAGGATTCAGGGTCAGCCTAGGGGCGGAGGTATCCTTAGGATTCAGGGTCAGCCTAGGGGCGGAGGTATCCTTAGGATTCAGGGTCAGCCTAGGGGCGGAGGTATCCTTAGGATTCAGGGTCAGCCTAGGGGCGGAGGTATCCTTAGGATTCAGGGTCAGCCTAGGGGCGGAGGTATCCTTAGGATTCAGGGTCAGCCTAGGGGCGGAGGTATCCTTAGGATTCAGGGTCAGCCTAGGGGCGGAGGTATCCTTAGGATTCAGGGTCAGCCTAGGGGCGGAGGTATCCTTAGGATTCAGGGTCAGCCTAGGGGCGGAGGTATCCTTAGGATTCAGGGTCAGCCTAGGGGCGGAGGTATCCTTAGGATTCAGGGTCAGCCTAGGGGCGGAGGTATCCTTAGGATTCAGGGTCAGCCTAGGGGCGGAGGTATCCTTAGGATTCAGGGTCAGCCTAGGGGCGGAGGTATCCTTAGGATTCAGGGTCAGCCTAGGGGCGGAGGTATCCTTAGGATTCAGGGTCAGCCTAGGGGCGGAGGTATCCTTAGGATTCAGGGTCAGCCTAGGGGCGGAGGTATCCTTAGGATTCAGGGTCAGCCTAGGGGCGGAGGTATCCTTAGGATTCAGGGTCAGCCTAGGGGCGGAGGTATCCTTAGGATTCAGGGTCAGCCTAGGGGCGGAGGTATCCTTAGGATTCAGGGTCAGCCTAGGGGCGGAGGTATCCTTAGGATTCAGGGTCAGCCTAGGGGCGGAGGTATCCTTAGGATTCAGGGTCAGCCTAGGGGCGGAGGTATCCTTAGGATTCAGGGTCAGCCTAGGGGCGGAGGTATCCTTAGGATTCAGGGTCAGCCTAGGGGCGGAGGTATCCTTAGGATTCAGGGTCAGCCTAGGGGCGGAGGTATCCTTAGGATTCAGGGTCAGCCTAGGGGCGGAGGTATCCTTAGGATTCAGGGTCAGCCTAGGGGCGGAGGTATCCTTAGGATTCAGGGTCAGCCTAGGGGCGGAGGTATCCTTAGGATTCAGGGTCAGCCTAGGGGCGGAGGTATCCTTAGGATTCAGGGTCAGCCTAGGGGCGGAGGTATCCTTAGGATTCAGGGTCAGCCTAGGGGCGGAGGTATCCTTAGGATTCAGGGTCAGCCTAGGGGCGGAGGTATCCTTAGGATTCAGGGTCAGCCTAGGGGCGGAGGTATCCTTAGGATTCAGGGTCAGCCTAGGGGCGGAGGTATCCTTAGGATTCAGGGTCAGCCTAGGGGCGGAGGTATCCTTAGGATTCAGGGTCAGCCTAGGGGCGGAGGTATCCTTAGGATTCAGGGTCAGCCTAGGGGCGGAGGTATCCTTAGGATTCAGGGTCAGCCTAGGGGCGGAGGTATCCTTAGGATTCAGGGTCAGCCTAGGGGCGGAGGTATCCTTAGGATTCAGGGTCAGGCTAGGGGCGAAGGTATCTTCGGGATTCAAGGTCAGCCTAGGGGCGAAGGTATGCTTGGGATTCAGGGTCAGCCTAGGGGCGGAGGTATCATTAGGATTCAGGCTCAGCCTAGGGGCGAAGGTATGCTTGGGATTCAGGGTCAGCCTAGGGGCGGAGGTATCCTTAGTATTCAGGGTCAGCCTAGGGGCAGAGGTATCCTCGGGATTCAGGGTCAGCCTAGGGGCGGAGGTATCCTTAGGATTCAGGGTCAGCCTAGGGTATGGTTATCCTCAGGGTCAGCCTAGGGGCGGAGGTATCCTTAGGATTCAGGGTCAGCCTAGGGTATGGTTATCCTCAGGGTCAGCCTAGGGGCGGAGGTATCCTTAGGATTCAGGGTCAGCCTAGGGTATGGTTATCCTCAGGGTCAGCCTAGGGGCGGAGGTATCCTTAGGATTCAGGGTCAGCCTAGGGTATGGTTATCCTCAGGGTCAGCCTAGGGGCGGAGGTATCCTTAGGATTCAGGGTCAGCCTAGGGTATGGTTATCCTCAGGGTCAGCCTAGGGGCGGAGGTATCCTTAGGATTCAGGGTCAGCCTAGGGTATGGTTATCCTCAGGGTCAGCCTAGGGGCGGAGGTATCCTTAGGATTCAGGGTCAGCCTAGGGTATGGTTATCCTCAGGGTCAGCCTAGGGGCGGAGGTATCCTTAGGATTCAGGGTCAGCCTAGGGTATGGTTATCCTCAGGGTCAGCCTAGGGGCGGAGGTATCCTTAGGATTCAGGGTCAGCCTAGGGTATGGTTATCCTCAGGGTCAGCCTAGGGGCGGAGGTATCCTTAGGATTCAGGGTCAGCCTAGGGTATGGTTATCCTCAGGGTCAGCCTAGGGGCGGAGGTATCCTTAGGATTCAGGGTCAGCCTAGGGTATGGTTATCCTCAGGGTCAGCCTAGGGGCGGAGGTATCCTTAGGATTCAGGGTCAGCCTAGGGTATGGTTATCCTCAGGGTCAGCCTAGGGGCGGAGGTATCCTTAGGATTCAGGGTCAGCCTAGGGTATGGTTATCCTCAGGGTCAGCCTAGGGGCGGAGGTATCCTTAGGATTCAGGGTCAGCCTAGGGTATGGTTATCCTCAGGGTCAGCCTAGGGGCGGAGGTATCCTTAGGATTCAGGGTCAGCCTAGGGTATGGTTATCCTCAGGGTCAGCCTAGGGGCGGAGGTATCCTTAGGATTCAGGGTCAGCCTAGGGTATGGTTATCCTCAGGGTCAGCCTAGGGGCGGAGGTATCCTTAGGATTCAGGGTCAGCCTAGGGTATGGTTATCCTCAGGGTCAGCCTAGGGGCGGAGGTATCCTTAGGATTCAGGGTCAGCCTAGGGTATGGTTATCCTCAGGGTCAGCCTAGGGGCGGAGGTATCCTTAGGATTCAGGGTCAGCCTAGGGTATGGTTATCCTCAGGGTCAGCCTAGGGGCGGAGGTATCCTTAGGATTCAGGGTCAGCCTAGGGTATGGTTATCCTCAGGGTCAGCCTAGGGGCGGAGGTATCCTTAGGATTCAGGGTCAGCCTAGGGTATGGTTATCCTCAGGGTCAGCCTAGGGGCGGAGGTATCCTTAGGATTCAGGGTCAGCCTAGGGTATGGTTATCCTCAGGGTCAGCCTAGGGGCGGAGGTATCCTTAGGATTCAGGGTCAGCCTAGGGTATGGTTATCCTCAGGGTCAGCCTAGGGGCGGAGGTATCCTTAGGATTCAGGGTCAGCCTAGGGTATGGTTATCCTCAGGGTCAGCCTAGGGGCGGAGGTATCCTTAGGATTCAGGGTCAGCCTAGGGTATGGTTATCCTCAGGGTCAGCCTAGGGGCGGAGGTATCCTTAGGATTCAGGGTCAGCCTAGGGTATGGTTATCCTCAGGGTCAGCCTAGGGGCGGAGGTATCCTTAGGATTCAGGGTCAGCCTAGGGTATGGTTATCCTCAGGGTCAGCCTAGGGGCGGAGGTATCCTTAGGATTCAGGGTCAGCCTAGGGTATGGTTATCCTCAGGGTCAGCCTAGGGGCGGAGGTATCCTTAGGATTCAGGGTCAGCCTAGGGTATGGTTATCCTCAGGGTCAGCCTAGGGGCGGAGGTATCCTTAGGATTCAGGGTCAGCCTAGGGTATGGTTATCCTCAGGGTCAGCCTAGGGGCGGAGGTATCCTTAGGATTCAGGGTCAGCCTAGGGTATGGTTATCCTCAGGGTCAGCCTAGGGGCGGAGGTATCCTTAGGATTCAGGGTCAGCCTAGGGTATGGTTATCCTCAGGGTCAGCCTAGGGGCGGAGGTATCCTTAGGATTCAGGGTCAGCCTAGGGTATGGTTATCCTCAGGGTCAGCCTAGGGGCGGAGGTATCCTTAGGATTCAGGGTCAGCCTAGGGTATGGTTATCCTCAGGGTCAGCCTAGGGGCGGAGGTATCCTTAGGATTCAGGGTCAGCCTAGGGTATGGTTATCCTCAGGGTCAGCCTAGGGGCGGAGGTATCCTTAGGATTCAGGGTCAGCCTAGGGTATGGTTATCCTCAGGGTCAGCCTAGGGGCGGAGGTATCCTTAGGATTCAGGGTCAGCCTAGGGTATGGTTATCCTCAGGGTCAGCCTAGGGGCGGAGGTATCCTTAGGATTCAGGGTCAGCCTAGGGTATGGTTATCCTCAGGGTCAGCCTAGGGGCGGAGGTATCCTTAGGATTCAGGGTCAGCCTAGGGTATGGTTATCCTCAGGGTCAGCCTAGGGGCGGAGGTATCCTTAGGATTCAGGGTCAGCCTAGGGTATGGTTATCCTCAGGGTCAGCCTAGGGGCGGAGGTATCCTTAGGATTCAGGGTCAGCCTAGGGTATGGTTATCCTCAGGGTCAGCCTAGGGGCGGAGGTATCCTTAGGATTCAGGGTCAGCCTAGGGTATGGTTATCCTCAGGGTCAGCCTAGGGGCGGAGGTATCCTTAGGATTCAGGGTCAGCCTAGGGTATGGTTATCCTCAGGGTCAGCCTAGGGGCGGAGGTATCCTTAGGATTCAGGGTCAGCCTAGGGTATGGTTATCCTCAGGGTCAGCCTAGGGGCGGAGGTATCCTTAGGATTCAGGGTCAGCCTAGGGTATGGTTATCCTCAGGGTCAGCCTAGGGGCGGAGGTATCCTTAGGATTCAGGGTCAGCCTAGGGTATGGTTATCCTCAGGGTCAGCCTAGGGGCGGAGGTATCCTTAGGATTCAGGGTCAGCCTAGGGTATGGTTATCCTCAGGGTCAGCCTAGGGGCGGAGGTATCCTTAGGATTCAGGGTCAGCCTAGGGTATGGTTATCCTCAGGGTCAGCCTAGGGGCGGAGGTATCCTTAGGATTCAGGGTCAGCCTAGGGTATGGTTATCCTCAGGGTCAGCCTAGGGGCGGAGGTATCCTTAGGATTCAGGGTCAGCCTAGGGTATGGTTATCCTCAGGGTCAGCCTAGGGGCGGAGGTATCCTTAGGATTCAGGGTCAGCCTAGGGTATGGTTATCCTCAGGGTCAGCCTAGGGGCGGAGGTATCCTTAGGATTCAGGGTCAGCCTAGGGTATGGTTATCCTCAGGGTCAGCCTAGGGGCGGAGGTATCCTTAGGATTCAGGGTCAGCCTAGGGTATGGTTATCCTCAGGGTCAGCCTAGGGGCGGAGGTATCCTTAGGATTCAGGGTCAGCCTAGGGTATGGTTATCCTCAGGGTCAGCCTAGGGGCGGAGGTATCCTTAGGATTCAGGGTCAGCCTAGGGTATGGTTATCCTCAGGGTCAGCCTAGGGGCGGAGGTATCCTTAGGATTCAGGGTCAGCCTAGGGTATGGTTATCCTCAGGGTCAGCCTAGGGGCGGAGGTATCCTTAGGATTCAGGGTCAGCCTAGGGTATGGTTATCCTCAGGGTCAGCCTAGGGGCGGAGGTATCCTTAGGATTCAGGGTCAGCCTAGGGTATGGTTATCCTCAGGGTCAGCCTAGGGGCGGAGGTATCCTCGGGGCTCACTGTCAGTGCATGGATGAAAGGAGAAGCAATCAATGTGGCTCCAACAAAACCCCCGCTCCGTGCACAGAGACCCAACAAAACCCCCGCTCCGTGCACAGAGACCCAACAAAACCCCCGCTCCGTGCACAGAGACCCAACAAAACCCCCGCTCCGTGCACAGAGACCCAACAAAACCCCCGCTCCGTGCACAGAGACCCAACAAAACCCCCGCTCCGTGCACAGAGACCCAACAAAACCCCCGCTCCGTGCACAGAGACCCAACAAAACCCCCGCTCCGTGCACAGAGACCCAACAAAACCCCCGCTCCGTGCACAGAGACCCAACAAAACCCCCGCTCCGTGCACAGAGACCCAACAAAACCCCCGCTCCGTGCACAGAGACCCAACAAAACCCCCGCTCCGTGCACAGAGACCCAACAAAACCCCCGCTCCGTGCACAGAGACCCAACAAAACCCCCGCTCCGTGCACAGAGACCCAACAAAACCCCCGCTCCGTGCACAAGAGTACACACCATCCCGCCACACGTATCTCACAATCACCTCTTTGCACAGGCCATGGAACAGAACCTCTTGGAACGTTTAAATTTGTACTCCAAGTCCACCCGACCACAGAGCTCACACTTCAGTTTAGGAGGATCGCCATCGCTCTTTGATTCTGAAATATAAAAGCACAAAATGGGCGACATGTACAAAGTATAATGATCATGTGATCTCACCGTCCAATGACACGAGAAGACACCGTACAGATGAGGCAACTTTGTGATCAATCACCAGCCAAGACGGTATAAACATTAGGTGACCTCATCATCCAATCACAGGCCAGGACACTACAGATCAGGGAACCTCAGGATCCAATCACGGGCCAAGATGCAATCCAGATACGTCCAATCACATGTGAAGACCTTACACCAATATGGTAAACTGGCTGTCCAGTCACACAGTACCTGGTACACTGGGCTCCTCCATCTCAGAGTCTGTGGTGGTGTTGTTGTCCTGCTGGGGCAGTTTTTCAGCCAGAAGCTGACACTTCTCTTGGGCCGCCACCAGTAGGGAGGAGCGCCCCACCTGGTCACAGGAAGAACTGCAGTTAGAGATGTACTTTGAGGAATAGTTACAGCCTGACATATCTTCTCCGATATACCTACCGAGATCACCACGTATGGAATGTCACAGGGGGCGATGGGGCTGACCACTTCCTGTGCTTTCCACTGCGGACCCTCTACGCTGACCACTTCCTGTGCTTTCCACTGCGGACCCTCTACGCTGACCACTTCCTGTGCTTTCCACTGCGGACCCTCTACGCTGACCACTTCCTGTGCTTTCCACTGCGGACCCTCTACGCTGACCACTTCCTGTGCTTTCCACTGCGGACCCTCTACGCTGACCACTTCCTGTGCTTTCCACTGCGGACCCTCTACGCTGACCACTTCCTGTGCTTTCCACTGCGGACCCTCTACGCTGACCACTTCCTGTGCTTTCCACTGCGGACCCTCTACGCTGACCACTTCCTGTGCTTTCCACTGTGGACCCTCTACGCTGACCACTTCCTGTGCTTTCCACTGAGGACCCTCTACGCTGACCACTTCCTGTGCTTTCCACTGCGGACCCTCTACGCTGACCACTTCCTGTGCTTTCCACTGCGGACCCTCTACGCTGACCACTTCCTGTGCTTTCCACTGTGGACCCTCTACGCTGACCACTTCCTGTGCTTTCCACTGCGGACCCTCTACGCTGACCACTTCCTGTGCTTTCCACTGCGGACCCTCTACGCTGACCACTCCCTGTGCTTTCCACACGTCACATGTGTGGTATAAGATGGGTGGCATTGTACACGTTACATGTGTGGTATAAGATGGGTGGCATTGTACACGTTACATGTGTGGTATAAGATGGGTGGCATTGTACACGTTACATGTGTGGTATAAGATGGGTGGCATTGTACACGTTACATGTG